TGATACTTGCTTGGGTCTCAAGCCATGTCTTCCTAAGTAGTGGCCATGCACCGGAGGCCACCATGGGTGTCATATCATTCTTGGCGTTCACTCTCATAGTTCTGCTCCCTTCACTACGCAGAAGCCCGACTGCCCTTTCCAGGCTAATGACTGACGGCTCCCCTTGCCCCCCCTCATAAGCATTTCTTCTCTCCCTAGTGCCTGGGTACCAACAGCCTGCACATGGCATAAGGAGGAGATGGTTATCCCATTCTGCCTGTCTCCTTGGGTGGAAACCGTGTACAGAAAGCCTTCCACAACTAGCTTACTGTTTTTATGGCCCCAAGATCTTTAGATAGCTGGCTAATGCCTGTCTCATGGAGAGGGGGTATCCTAAGTTAGAAATAATCCAATCTCATGACTTGATCTGTATCCTGCAGGGCATGGCCTTTCTCCATAACAGCATTATTGCATTCCATGGGAGTCTCAAGTCCTCCAACTGTGTGGTGGATAGTCGTTTTGTGCTCAAAATCACAGACTATGGCCTGGCCAGCTTCCGATCAACTACTGAACCTGATGACAGCCATGCCCTCTATGCCAGTGAGACCTCCCCCCACAACTCCTCAAACCCACTTTTATATGGCTCCTCTAGCCCTGGTCATTTCCACCTAGGGAAGGTGGGAGAGGGAGATGGTGTGACAGTAATATGGGGAGCATTATGGGGATGAGCCCAGGTGGTCTTGGGAATACCTTTTTTGAGGACCAGCCTATTCCCTCTTTTCAGAGAAGCTGTGGACTGCCCCAGAGCTACTCAGTGGGAACTCCTTGCCAACCACAGGCATGCAGAAGGCTGATGTCTATAGCTTTGGGATCATATTACAGGAGATAGCACTTCGCAATGGTCCTTTCTACTTGGAGAGCCTGGACCTTAGCCCCAAAGGTGAGAGTCAATCTACTCCCCCTACCCCCTACCCCCTACCTGGGGGGCCCTGTTCTTCATCCAACCCCTTTATCTCCTTCAGAGATTGTTCAGAAGGTCAGAAATGGTCAGCGGCCATATTTTCGGCCTAGCATTGACCGGACCCAACTGAATGAGGAACTAGTTTTGCTGATGGAGCGATGTTGGGCCCAGGACCCAGCGGAGAGGCCAGACTTTGGACAGATTAAGTGCTTCATTCGCCGCTTTAACAAGTGAGAGGGCACCGAGGGGCAGGGGCTCCTCATCAGGCTTAGTGGATGAGGTGGGGCTGGTCGGGTCCAAGAGGGTGGGTTGGTTGGGTAGAAAAGTACTGAGAGTCTTGAGAATCTTGGAGCAGGTACCATATTCTGGCCTTCTCCCCCAGAGAGGGTGGCACCAGCATACTGGACAATCTCCTGTTGCGCATGGAGCAGTATGCCAATAACTTGGAGAAGCTGGTGGAGGAACGCACGCAGGCCTATCTGGAGGAGAAACGCAAGGCTGAGGCTCTGCTCTACCAAATTCTACCCCAGTGAGACTTTTGTCCCCCTTCCTGACTTTTCCTTTGATATTCTGCTCTGTTGGATTCTGCCTCATCAATCTCCTGAGAACTCACCTCCCAACTGCTTTGTTACATCTGGCCACAGTGAGCCTTTGTGGCTAGAGACTATTTTCATCCGGTCTCCAAATGAGCTGTGCTACCTTCTTCTTAGGACATTGGTCTACCATGCCTTTGCTCCAGCAAGTGTATGTAGAACAATCCCAACTTGAGATATTTCGCCACCATCCCCAGGGAGCCATTCCATTCCCCCATCGCCTTTACAGCTTACCTTGCTTGTGCTAGACGGTGCTGTCTTCCCAGCCACCTTCCTTCTCCTCCACCAGGCTCAGCTTTCATGTTAGAACTCATTTCTGATCCAGCCATACACTCCTTTCCTTTCTCCCTGTCTCCTCCTCTTTCTGAGCTTGGCTCAAACTGCACCCTTGCTTTCTAGTTCAGTGGCAGAGCAGTTAAAACGGGGAGAGACTGTACAAGCTGAGGCCTTTGACAGTGTTACCATCTACTTCAGCGACATAGTTGGCTTCACAGCTTTGTCAGCAGAGAGCACCCCCATGCAGGTAAGAGCCATGGGTGAGATTAGGGGGTGGGATAGCGACCTGGGGGAGCTTCACTGGGACATAGGGATCCTTGATAATAGGAAAGATTGGTTTGTTCTGGAGTTCCCGTGTGGCTTTTGGGTTAAGAATGCCTAGAAGGTTGGACACAAGTCTCAGGGCTTTAACTTTCCCATCCATTCATTAGGTGGTGACACTTCTTAACGACCTGTATACCTGCTTTGATGCCATAATTGACAACTTCGATGTCTACAAGGTGAGAGCTTGAGGCTACCCTTTCACTTAGACCACTTTAAAACCCAGTCTCCCTGAACCCCATACACCTTACTTGTTCTGTGGTCATTTCCCCTCCTGACTCTCCAGTATCCTAGAACCAGAATGCCCTTTGTAGACCAATGAGGCTCTGGCACTCTCACTGTACCTTCCAGTCAAATTTCTTGTGAATCCTTAGGCTTCCCTAATGGGAACCATCACAAGATTTAGCCCCTATCTGCTACATTTTCCTGAGGGTATGAATACAGCCTATCCATCTTTTCTCTTCTCTCCATCCCCTCCAGACATGGAAGAATCATACAGGATGTGGGTACAGAATGATTAATTGGGGTGAGGGACAAGCTATGTTGTAAAAGCCTTTTGTTGAAGTCATTGAGTTGGCACAGGGTGGGCTTTATTGTGCTTGGGAGTAAAAATTACTTGGATTTGCATATTGGCTTTGTGGCTAATTGTGTGGCCTTGGGCAAGTAACAGAAGCTCCCTGTGCCTCAGATGTCTTACGTGTAATATGGGAATAGTTTTTCTTGTGGAAAGTGCTTAACATTGTGTAGCTAATATCCCTTCCTGTCCCTTTGGATTTACTCTACCATCTCTGTTATAATTGTAATATAGACCTCCCATAAGCCTTTACTAAGATTCACCAATTTTTAAAATATATTTTTATTGATTTCAGAGAGGAAAGGAGAGGGAGAGATAGAAACATCAATGATGAGAGAATCATTGATCGGCTGCCTCCTGCAGGCCCCCTACTGGGGATCGAGCCTGAAATCCTGGCATGTGCCCTTGACCGGAATTGAACCCCAGACCCTTCAGTCCGCAGGCTGATGCCATATCCACTGAGCCAAACCAGCTAGGGCTGATTCACCAATTTCTTATATATCCCCCCATTTGTTTTATTTTAAAAATCTATATAATTATTTTTTGAAGCATTTAAGAGTAAGTTTCAGACATAGTTCTCCTTTATCCTAAACAGTTCAATGTTTAGTTCCTAAAGACAGGGACATTCTCTTACACAGCTTCAGTACAATGGACAAAACCAAGCCCCTGCCTTCTTACTTTTGACAGTTTAGACTGTCTGAGGCCCATTTCATTGGGCCTGCCTCACCTCTTCTAGCTTCTGTCCTATTTTCTTGCTTCCCGTTTCCTGACAGCAGAGCCTGTTTGCCCATGTCCTGTTGCAAACAGGGTGCCCATTAACTTAGCAAACATTTACTGAGTATTCACAGGTACTGGGGAGGAGCAGGAGGGTTTAAAGATTCCCCTTCCTGCCCCTGTATTCTCAGGACCATAACACTTATTTTTCTCGTCTATGTTCTGACCTCCCAAAGGCTGTCAGGAGACAAGTGGTGTTCAGCTTGTCTCCTTGTACTCCTCCCTGGGAACTGATACAGGTACAAGTGACATTTTAATCCCCCTCTCAATCAGGTGGAGACGATTGGAGATGCCTACATGGTGGTATCTGGTCTCCCGGGCCGAAATGGTCAACGCCATGCCCCGGAAATTGCTCGTATGGCCTTAGCATTACTGGATGCAGTTTCTTCCTTCCGCATTCGCCACCGACCCCATGACCAGCTGAGGCTACGCATAGGGGTCCACACAGGTAAGGTTAACGCTCACTCCAGCCCTAGTATCCACCTTCCCCAGGCTCTCCCAACCTGTGTCTCCTCATAGGGCCCGTCTGTGCTGGGGTCGTTGGCCTGAAGATGCCCCGCTATTGCCTTTTTGGAGACACGGTGAACACTGCTTCCCGAATGGAGTCTAATGGTCAAGGTGAGACATTAGCCCTCAATCTCAGCTTCAGTCTCAATCTGTGTCCCCTTTTTCTTCTTTTCAGAGTTCCTCCAAATCTCTCAATCTGAGACCACAGTTCCTGACTGCCCCATCCTTGGACATATTTAGGTTCTGGTGCATGGGCACTGGGAAGACCGAGAGCCTCCTGAGGGGTGGTGGTTGGGTAAAGCTTTCTCTGACACCACCAATTCTTCTGTTGCCTTTTCTTTTCTCCTTCTTTCCACCATTCCCCATCCCACCCCAGCCCTGAAGATCCATGTCTCCTCTACTACCAAGGATGCACTGGATGAGCTAGGATGCTTCCAGCTAGAGCTTCGGGGGGATGTGGAGATGAAGGTGACGGCAGGCCATGGGGAGAGGGTTGGAACGGGAGGATGAAAGTGACTATGGGGATCATGGGGGAAGAGAGGGAGATAAAGGGAATAACATAGAAGAATCTGAATTATATCCACTCCCCTACTCCCAGGGAAAAGGAAAGATGCGAACTTACTGGCTCCTAGGAGAGCGGAAAGGACCCGCTGGACTTCTGTAAACCCCAATTCTTTTCAAGTCAGTCTCCTGCTACTGGTACCTGGGTAGGCAGTGGCTATCATCTCTCCATACACCAGACATGGACATTGTCATATGGGATGGAAACCAGCGTGCACAAAAATCCTATCTTATATGGAAGTTCTTGACCTTTGAAGCTCAGCCTTGTACATATACCTGCCCCTCTTTGGCCTGGTCCCCTTCTTCCCTACCTTATGTATATATCTGTATCTAAACCAGAATATTTTGGTCAAATATAAAACAAACAAAAAAATAATGATGTCATAGTCGGGGTTAAGGGCAGTTCCAAGGAAACGTTATGGGTATGAACATGGAAACTCAGGGAATCACTGACTCAGGATGAGAAGGAATCCTTTATGTAAAGCCCCTTCACCAAGTATAAACAGAATTCACTTCCTCCCACCTTTCCAGTACAGACAGAAATAGATTCCATATTCCACATCTCACTTCCCTCCTCAACCCTTAGACAGTTCTACCCCCCTCACCACCCTGCCCTCTTCCCTGACAGCCAAGAGAAGAGATTTGTCCCAGTTGGTGGGAATAATTCTCAGGTCCATCAGGAAAAGGCTGTTCCAGGGACAGAGGCACTGGTGTTGAGAAGCTGCAGTTCTTCCGGAATGGCGTGTCCAGTGTCTTGATGTTACTGACACCCTATAGGAATGCCAGAATAAGGACAGATCCTACGCTCTGCCAAGCCAGAAGAGAACAACCTCTTCCCTTCCTTCTTCCCCACTCCCAACATCTAGTCACCCTCACACACCGGTAGCTGTGGTGCCCTCTGTATCCAGAAAGTTTCAGGTTGCTCCTTGCAGTAGTCATGAGACTGAGAGGGAAAAATACTGAATAACTCTTGGCCTGAAGCCCCCTTTCTAAACCTCTGGGTCTGCTGCTCCCCCACAGCCCCCCAAAGCTCAGCTTTACATGTGGGGTGGAATGAGTTCTTACCTTTGTTGGGGCAGGAGCCCCTGCCTGCACCAGCTCCTTTTTGTAGTCATGGTGTGTCACAGACTCAACCTCAAATTGCTTCCTTGTCAGTTCTTGCTCTGCCTCCACCTCTTTACTATACAGTTATGGGGGCATAAAAGCCGTTCTTCCCTGGTTTTTGTCCTCCCCCTCCCCTTTCCCCTTCATCCAGACTCTCACCAGATCTGGTGGCACAGCAGTATCTCCAGCATGGCTTCACGTTTTCCTGTGGGAGTGGGGGGTGGGGGCAGGGAGTGGACAGAGCTGACAAGTCTGGTTAGGAAGCAGGCGCAGAATAAACAAAGTTGAGAAAAGGAAGGAAAATTGTGGGGGGTTGCCCTTATACCCATTGGACAATCTATAGTCCCACCAGAAATTCCTTTCTCTTTTTTCTCTGACTAGTGGACTCATTCTGACCCATTCCCTCATGCTCCACACCTCGAATTGGCTGACAGCGGTTTCGTGGGGTCTGGTATGCGTCTTTCTGGGTGGTGCTGAGGGGCATGGGTGATTGGAGCTGCAGGGTTAGCAGTCCCTGGTGTCCATGTCGGAAATAGAAACTCTCGGAGCCATCCTGCACGCTTGGGACTTGATCCAGATGGTTGGTGGCTCTCTGTGGGCCCCAAGTTGAGTGATCATAATATCCTTTCTGTTACCCACTCTCATCATACACTACTATCTTCCCCAGGCAACTCCTTTTAAGAAAAGGGAGTAGGTCAAAACCTGAATACCTCTTCCTCCCAGTTGTAGAGAAGGCAGTGGCCCCGTGGCAATGTTTTACCGAGAAGCTCACACTTCACTTCAGCCTCAGGGGTCTTCAACAGCCCCCTTTGGGCAACAGGTTCTGAAACTGGCAAAAATGTCCAGGGTTGCTTCTGAGGCTCGCAGTATTGGTAGTGATTCCCGGAGGCATAATTAGGGACCAGCTTTGCCCCAGGATGTCTGGAGCTTGTAAGAGCGTTGGGGCTGAGCTCAGGGTCGGCACAACCAGGGCGAGAATCCAGATCAGTGCCTTTACTAGAACCAGGGCCATGGCCAGATCTGGAGCCAGGAACAGGGCCAGATCTGGAGCTAGAAACGGGGCCAGATCTGGAGCTAGAAACGGGGCCAGATCCGGAGCCAGGAACGGGGCCGGTGCTAGAGCCAGGAACGGCGCTAGGGCTAGTGTTAGGGTAATCTGTAGAACAGGGATCCCGAGCAATAGAGGAAACATCAGTCTTAAAGCCAAGTCTCCCATGGCCTATCTTGTGGGTAAAACTGGGTCCAGTGCAGGGCTTCCCAACAACACTATCAGAGGACGGGTCCGAGAGAGGGCTTCGGTCAGAATAGGGCCCTGGGGTCTTTGCAGTTAATACAGCTGCTTTGGCAGTGGAGACGGCTGCAGTGGCTGCAGCAGCTGCTGACGCTGCTGCCCTTGCGGCTGCCAGGGCCCTAGGAGTGACATCCCCTTCGGAGCTGGGCAGTACGGGTAAAGATCTGAAAGAAAGCGATTGCGTCAAAAGCTCGGCAGAGGAAGGAAGTCCGCTGACTTTCCTCGTCCCCTAATGCCTGCAGCCAGAGCTCCGGCTCTCACCGCGACCTCGTAGACTCAAAGGTCTTCATCTTCGGACACCAGCTACCCGGGTTGCCATAGAGACGGCAAATAATTCCCGGAGCCTGCGCAGAACTATAGTTGGGCGGAAGTGCCGGGGGGGGGAGGGGCAAGTTCCCTGCGGGGCGGAAGTCTTTCTTTCCGTTTGGACTCCATTCCCTCTCATCCCCGGCTTTTAAGGTTCCGCTGATCTAAGGCCTCTCCCTCCATACCGAAGCATGATTCTTTTAAGCTTTCTAAGGTGGTTGTGTTAGAGACAGGCACAGGGCTATTATGTAGGGGATAACAGCAGCTTCCCCGTAGCTCATTCTCAAAAGTGGGGGTAGCCTTTTCAAACATTTAAGAATGAAAATACACCAGACAACAGCTTAAGGGCAGAATGGTGAGATTCGGGGATTAGTCAAAGGGTAACAGCTTTTTTGGGGTGTGATTACTTCACCCCCCAGTAAAAGGCCCTCACACTGACCACCCTCCTCCCAGATCCTCTTATAATTTGGATTGGCAGCTGGATAAAGGTCATGATAGAGCACATCTCACATTCAGTCTCTTTTTTTTAAAAAAAATTGATTTCAGAGAGGGAGAGGGAGAGCGAGATAGAAACATCAATGATGACAGAGAATCACTGATCGGCTGCCTACTTCATGCCCCATACTGGGGATCGTGCTTGCAACCCAGACATATGCCCTGACCAGGAATTGAACCGGGACCTCCTGGTTCATAGATTGACGCTCAACCACGGAGTCACGCCAGCTGGGCTTAGTCTCTTCTTATTCATTCAGGCTTATTCCTACTGCTACTTGTCTGGAAGCTTGACTCAGGTGGGCCACTAGTCATGACTCACAGATCTATAGGCAAATGCTTCTTTAAATACAGGAAGGGTCTCCTTCATGTCTCTTACTCAGACCATAGTCAAAGAGGATCATAACCTTTTCCTTCCTCTTTGTGGCAAAATTTCTTTATATATTTAAGACAGAGATGCAAAATTGAGGGAGAGCAAGTTTATTAGATCACAGGGTCCCTTTCCTTCTCCCCCATCCAATCATCCAGGCACAGGGTCCTTGGTCAGTTGGTAGGTTCAACCTGGAGGCCACTGGAGCTGTCGGCCCCCAAGTACGTGAATGTGCAGGTGATACACAGATTGTGCTCCCAGCTTCCCATCATTGATCACTGAAAGGGAGCTTGGGGTTAGTGAGTCAGGACCATGGGAAAGGTCAAAGAATGAAGACCATATTGAGAAGCAGGTATGAGAATTCATTGGTGAAGGGGCTCAATGGCTAAGCCACTCACCAAGTCGGTATCCATCTCCCAGCCCCTCAGTCTTTGCTGTCTTCTTGGCCACAAGGAGAAGGTGTCCTAGAAGCTACAGGGAAAGGGGAGGGAGACAGGTGGCTTTATTTACAAGGAGCAAAACCTCTAGCTGAATCCAGGGCTTCCCCCAGCCAAACCCTTGTCCTATTCTTCCCACCTGCTGGTCTTCTTCTTCAGCCTGGCTAATCCGAGGAATGGGCTTCTTGGGAATGACCAGGAAGTGCACAGGAGCCTGAGGAGCCACATCACGGAACACGAGACACTGGGAGCAGTGACAGGCCAGAGGGCACCGTGTTACTTCCACAGGCTGGATGGTATCTATGAAATCCCTATGGGATGGGTCCTAAGGGCACCCCACCTGCTGGTCCTCATACAGAACGTCAGCTGGAAGGCTTCCATCCAGGATCCTAGAGAAGATGGTTGGGGCTGTTCCCCTAGGAGCTGCCTGCTGGGCCTTGGTCACTTCGTTTCCATCATTCACACCTGCAGCTCCTCGGACCTGAAGGTGGGTCAAAACCGAGGGAGAGAGTTGGGGCTGACAGAAGCTGGGTTCTGATGGTCATGGACGTCACCCTTCTAAGAACCTATTCGTGGTTCCCACACCAAGGAACGGTTCTTCAGTTGCAGACCATCGGCAGCAGAGAGTAGGGTCAGAGTTAGATAACAGGCAGTAGTGTAATGGGACTCCGCAGCAGTCCCAGTGATTTCTGCTTCTAAAATGTCTAGGAAATTTAGCACTGTTCAGGGGAAAGATCCAGAATGAGAACCTGGAGACTTAGTTCCCTTAGTTCCTATTTACTAGTGATTTGCCTTAGAAAAATCCCTTCTCTTGGCTTCAAATGTAAAATACAGGGAGCGGTTTACATCATCTTTTAACACTACTTGGAGTTCTTTCCACATACTCTCACCTTGTTAACGTTGCCACTGATTTCCATTATTTACTTTCTGATCTTTAAGCCATGTTACCTGTTTTGTTCAGATTTTAATACATTTGCCCTTTGACACAAGGGCGTCTAGGTGTCACATGTGCCCTTTGACAGTGAATTTTAACTCCAGGCCCTGAATCAGTGGAAGAGTTCAGTTCCGTGAACTCGGCCCCCGGGGATTGAGGGAAGGCAAGTCCCGGTTTCCCACCAACTCAGAAAGGCTTCTCAAGTCGGTGCTGTCACACTGCGGGGGGAGGACTGGCTGAATCTGACCCCTCCGGGCGCTCTGGCCAAGTGGGGAAGACGAGAGGCTAACACTGGGACTCAGCAGAAGGCCAGGAGCCTGCAGGGCAGCAGACAGGCTGCAGGGAGACCGGAAGCTCCCTTCCTGCAGGGGGCACGAGGGGGCTGCCCGGAGCAGGCGTGGGGTAGCTGGGCTTCAGGCGGGTTTAGGAGGCAGCAGCCACTGCACGGCCCCGGCCCCGGCCTCGGCCTCGGCGCCCGGGGCTGTGCAGGGTGCAGGTCATCGCCAGCTCGCTTCTCCCGCGTCGAGGTTTCGGGGAGGACGATGCCGCGATTACCGGGCCGATCTCACCGCAGAGCCATGGAACTTGCACGCCGCGCTCCGTCCCCGCGAGGCCGCTGGGCTGCGCGCGTCTGGGGAGCCGGGGAGGAACGCGGTGCCCGGCCCTGGCGGCCGTCAGGCGCGCAGAGCCCCCTCCTGGTCCCCAGGGCCGCTTCTCACCTGCGGCCCCCGCGGCCCCGCGACCGCCACAGCCCTGCACGCCAAGCGCAGCCGGCGGCCAGCAGCCCGGCCGGCGCCATCTTCCTCTCGCCTCGGGAACCCGTCACTCAGGTCAGTCCCGGGGCCGACCGGCCGCCGGGGCGGGGCGCCTGGGAGCGAGCGGCGGCGGCGATTGGTCCCGCCGGCTCCGAGCACGTCGCCCCGTAGCTCGGAGGAGTGGCGGGATCTTCCTCCCCTGGGCGCCTTTGCAACTCACTCCATTGGCTTCGTCTTCTCTGAGCGGGACCGTCCCTTTTCCATTGGATCTCCTAACTGGTTTCTCTCTCCATTGGAAGGAAAGAGAGACCGGGAGGTGGGGCTGCCCCGCCGCAGTGTGGCCGCCGGCGGGTGGCGCGCTCCGGGGGCGGGGCCTCGCCTCCGGGTTGGGCTCCGCTGCTGCGCTGGGCGGAGAGGGCTGCGCCTGGTCCTGCCCACCAAGCCCGAAGGTTGTGTACCAGCGATTTCAACCCTTTCCATCTCCCGGCACACACACACTAATTACTAAAATCCGGCGGCACACCGAAAATACATTTTTTAGCGACCTGACCCAAAAGAGGAGGTATAATTTTGATCCATTCCCACGGCACAGCTATTGTTATGCTGGCAGTTGTCCTTTTGTAATTTGGCAATGGAAATAGAAGTCAGTGCCCCTGACTAAATGGGCAGCTATTGCATGGTTTAAAAATTCTTGTGGCCAAGAAAAAAGAAAAAAAAAATTCTGTGGCACACCGGTTGAAAATCGCTGATCTAAGGGCAATTCTTCCTTAATGTTCTTGTTAACATTTACCCCAAGATTAAAGATTCTACAGTTTTAAGGATGGTTTTTGCATTTTTCTTTTTAACGGGAGGAGCTGGGTGTGTGTGTCCTATTTTGACCACAGGATTAATAAGCAAATGTTCTTTCCTAATTAGAAAAGGTGGGTGATAGGGTCAGCTCTGTGCCTGGTATTTTTAGGGAGTAGAGTTAGAAGGACAAGGGAAATGTGTCATGGCTAGGTCTGAAGTATATTTCGTTCTGCTGCAATATATATTATTAACATAAGAAACATGGGGATCACAAAATGCGAATATACTAAGGTAAATATACCAGGTAAGTTTTAGTCTGATGTTTAACACATAGGATAAAAGTCACCACTGTATTTTTAGTTTGTGTATATGTATGTTTTAGCACATAGCCTGACACATAATTTGTAGAATGAATAACATTTGGTGTTTTCTTTAATTTCTTTTTATAGTATAACTAGAGGCCCGGTGCACAAAAATTTGTGCACTGGCGGGGAGGGGGGGGGGGCTCAGCCCGGCCTATGCCCTCTTGCAGTCTGGGGACCCCTTGGAGGATGTCCACCTGCTGGCTTAGACCCGCTCCCTGGGGGATCAGGCCCAAGCTGGCAGTCAGACAGCCCTCTGGCAGCCCGGGAGCCCTCGGGGGATGTCCACTTGCCAGCAGGGAGCAGACCTAAGCTACAGTCAGACATCCTTAGTGCTGCTGAGGAGGCGGGAGAGGCTCCCACCACCACTGTACTGGCAGCTGCCAGCCTGGCTTGTGGCTGAGCAGAGCTCCCCCTGTGGGAGTGCACTGATCACCAGGGGGCAGCTCCTACATTGAGTGTCTTCCCCCTGGTGGTCAGTGTGTGTCATAGTGACCAGTCATTCCCAGTTGTTCTGCTGTTAGGGTCAGTTTGCATATTACCCTTTTATTATTTAGGATAGAGGCCTGGTGCATGGGTGAGGGCCGGCTGGTTTGCCCTGAAAGGTGTCCTGGATCAGGGTGGGGGTCCCGCTGGGGTGCCTGGCCAGCCTGGGTGAGGGGCTAATGGCTGTTTGCAGCTGCTCTCTGAAGTCCCCAAAGACCTTCTCATTGCAAAAGCCATTGGACACTTTTTAGCCTTTATCTTACTGGAGATCAAAGTGCATCTAACATCACGGCTTACTCCATCCTTCTTAAAACCCCCTCCCTCCTTGGCTTCTTTGAAGCCACTCTCTCCTTCTGATGCCAGGACTAGCAGGTTAAATGTGGGTGTGGTGAAGGCAGATGGCTGGATCTAGCCTCTCTCTCTTTCGCCCCCAATAGGTACTGACTCTGAGGTCTTAGAATATCTATCTCTGGGCGGGGCTATAGCTGCCCCAGACAGAGCCAGATCAGAGTCCAGTGGCTTCTCCTTTATTGCTGATTTGGACCAAGCTCACACAGGCCTGTGCCAGCTGTTGACAGTGTCTGTCCCTGGAGGAGGGAAGAGCAGAGGTGAAAGGGTCAGGTACGGGGGTTAGCTGTAGGGCCAGGTCGGAGACTGGGTGAGTCAGGGAGCCCAGGGGGACCAGGGTGAGAGCTGGAATGGCCAGAGGGCCCCTGCTTCTGTAGGACCTTGAAGTCAGAGTTGCTGCTGATGGTTTCTCGGAGGGTAGGAATCTCTGCAAAAGGCACATAGTCTGCTCCTGGGGGTGGAAACCAATGCAGGTATGGGATACAGGGGTTAATGGGGTGAGGTAGTGTTGGGTGGGATGGTTGAGGATGGGAGAGCCTTTCTGCCTGGCTTTCTGACTACAGACCCTGGAATGGATCCCTGTTCCAGGTAACCCCCTCACCGCGAGGCCTCCCTCCTCGTCGCCGGGTCTCCTCAGTCTCAAAGAAAGTCTCGTGTTCCTCCCAACGCCGGTCACAGGCTGCACAGAGGAAATTTGACTCAAAGCAGTAGCAGCAACAGCCTAGGGCAAGGGACAGCCAAGAAAAGCATAGGGAAATGGGGCTTCCCCCTGGGCTGACTACATTTTTATCTCTTTCTCACCAACCACAAACCTGTCTCTCTTGCCAACTCCCATATACTTATTCCCAAACTATATGCATCCTATCCCCACCCATGCCCACCTCTGCCCTCCCTTTGTTTTAGAAGGTACCTTTGACCCTGCAGGGATGGCACCCGGTAGCTGCATGGTTTTCATGGCTGTGTTTGCAGCGACATTGGGCTCTCCAGGCCTTGGGGTCAAAGGTGGCCCGCCTCTTGAGCCAGAACTCACCCACCTCCTCTGGGCTTGATGGTATAAAGCAGAACATGAGGCAGCGGCACTGACTCACATTGCAAGGCACGGATATGTCTATGAGAATGGGGATGGGTGGGAGGATTAGACCAGCAGCTGATGGCCCTGGCCTTTCCATGCCAACGCCCTCTCCCATACCAACACATACACTTTCTCTCATATAGTCCAACACATGACAGTATAGTTATCCCTCCTCATCTGCAAGGGCTGGGAGGGATAACTCAGTTCTCCCTACCTGATATGATCCGGTGCTCTCTCAACAAGTGTCCACAAAAGCACTTGGCCTTCGGTCCCCAATTCGGAAACAGTCCCATAGATAATGGGG